TCAGAGTCACGGAACGAATTAAGTTCATGAACTGAGGTACCACTGTATCTGCAAATAAAAATTATAAATAAAATTGGTCAGAATGACCAGGGCTATATGCTATGTTATAAATGAGGCATATGAAATCAAATATTGCACCTGTGTAATTTTTCTCTTAATTCCATTGTTTTGTTTTGAAAAAAAGTCATTAATCATTGCACACAAAGTCCAGCTTCAACAGATTTGTCATCGCTTCATCAGATGTAACACTGGACCAAATCCTACAATTTTCGAAAAGCAAAATATATACAACATACAGAAGAAAAGTTTATCAATTGTGTATTGTTCTCCATTTCACCGTTAAAAAGCAAACCAAACATTTGGAGAGTGATTTCTATATGAAGGAAGTAGGAACTTACTGCTGAATTAACATAAGATTTTGCCAATCCCCCTGCCCCATCCCAGTATAGCAGGTGATTTTTGTAATGCTTGCAGACTCAAATTCTAATAGCAGGATTTGGAATTCAGAGCTGCAGGATTTTTTTAGTGCTGACATAAGTTTTGTTAGAAGAGGTACAGTGGATATTTTTTTTTTGTTTGGACTCCATCCCATTTAATGGACTAATATAGATTGCATGGTTTTATTGCCTAAATGCTACCACTTATAACAGTTATGTAATTATGCAAATTATATAAATTGGCAGAAATAATATACATTTGGATTTAACAAACATTCTTCCTCCTCAAATGGCTGAAAGCTCAAGACTTTACTCCACTCAAAGCTCGTCCACAAGTAAATTATGCTTGACCCTCTGAAGGTCGAGTCTCTCTACCAGCTTGAATGAAACTGAAGCCTAAAGCAACCAAATGGACAATCAAAATCTCAGAAGCTGTTCTGAACAGTTTTCTGGATAAGGGCTTGTTTCTGCCACTGCTCAGTCAATATTGTCATTTATTTCTGTGACACAGTCTATGGAGTCAGTTGTTCCAGGCTAACTCTTCCTTCCCCAGTGTTGAGTTTGCTGGTCCTTCCAATACTTGGAGACATTGTGGAACCATCCATACCCATTGATGATGGTCAAAAAAGATTTTTTAGGTCTTGTATCCTCCAGCTGCTTGGAATGTACATACTTGATCAGATATATGGTCAGATACCAATTCTTTTTGCGGGGAGAACTGAGTCTGAAATTGGTAAAGTTTTCCGTGCTAAAGCTTATCATTTATCCAAATAGCAAATTAATGCCATTTGTGATGAGGCACATTAAATAGCTAAATCATTATGGACATGGTTGCTTTTCAAATGCATCTCTGCCTATGATCATTTGGTGCAAGAATTAGGTTTGTAGCCACATTGAGGATCTACCTTTCAGGGGAACTGATTTATTTAGCAATAAAACAGGGGTCACTTTAGATACCATCAGATGTGTGAATGGTATGGCATGATGCCTGGAAACCCCATCTCATCTGGCTCTTCATTTATTTATTCTAGGTTCCAGGGATATAACTTCTCATTTCAAATGGAATCCCTGCTATAGCTGTTTATTCAGTACCATTCTCCATAACCTGTCCTTTTCCTACTCTGGCTTTTGATGAGATTTAGCCAAGTGGCCTCTAATACAGCAGGATTTATTCACTGAGCAGACTTACAAACAAGAATCTGCTTGTTGCAGAGCTTGTCTGCTGAAGAAGGTTTTGGTCAAGGCAAAGTATTTTTGGAATTCGGTGACCTTAACAAATCCAATAAATAAAAAAGACCTGAGAATTAAGTTGGTCATGTCTTACAGAAGAGGAAACAGATCCGTGTTGCTACTCTGCATATGTCACTGAGTGGAGTATTGGTGAAGAAACCTATCAGGATGGCTGCATATCTAATGGAGAAGGCCATAGCACCCACCATGGAAGCAGCAGATTTGGCTTCTTAGCAGTGGGCTGTATAGGCTTTGATCTGCCAGTATTGTCAGTGCTTTTCCTAATGAGCTGTTGTGCTTTCTTACTAGTGAGCCCTTCATAACCTATCTTCAGTCAAGGTCTACTCTACTAGAGCTTTTTCTGTATCCACAGCCATTGCCTAAAATATGTCCATACATGACATCTGTAAAAGTCCTATCTGGTTATGGCCCTTGGTCTTCATTCTTAACCTGGATGTAAGAATTAAAGTTGGTGCTTTCTTTGGGAATCCCATTATTTTATCATAGACCACTTAGACTACATAGTCACTTCCAAGAGAGAGGTAAACCTATTCTCATATGTTAATACATGAAAAATACCAATGGTTAATTTACCTGTAATTACGGTTCTTTGAGTA